CAGCTGAGAGGGAGCCCCGATCACTAGCAGCCAGCAATACCCACAACCCAGCAAACCGCCCCGGTAGGATCACCATCTATCCTTGGAAGAATAGCAAGCTCTTAGCATGGGACTATATCTGTGTGTCCACACTGGCTGACACCTACATCCATCACAGTGTTGGGCGACAGGGAAGAGCTGCTGACCACAGGGATCAGTAAGTACAGGGACATAAGCCAACAGTATCAATTTGTCCCAGTGGTATCAGAGACCTTGGGATCATGGGGAAAAAATGCCACACGTTTCCTTAAAGAACTGGGTTCCAGACTCATCGACACCCCCAGGGACCCAATTGCAGCCACTTTCATGTTCCAGTGCCTCAGCATGGCCATCCAGAGGGGAAATGCTTGCTACATACTTGGCTCACGTCTGGCTTCGGAGGAGCTGGAGGAAATTCATTATCTCTAATACATTGTACCATTGTGTTCATGTTTGTGTTTTTCTATAAATGTATTCTGTTTATTAATAAATGTTCTCATAGAATATAATATATAGGGGGTGGTAAGAGAAGAAAATATTCAAACAGCTCCAGGGAGAACCTTGAGTTTTCCCTGAGGTACGTTTATTGTCTTCTCTGAGGATGAGGGTCCCCATTCCAGCTATAGAGGTGGTACTTCCCTATATATAAATTATATATATATATTATATAATATATTATATATATATATATATATATATATATATATATATATATATATATATATATATATATATATATATATAACAGGAGGGAAGAGGAGAGATTGGTGGAATGATGATGTAAAGAGAGTACTAAGGGAGCAAATGTTAGCATATGACAGTTTTTTTCCAAAGTAGAAGTGATGCAAGGAGGGAAGAGTATATGGAGATTAAAAGAGAGGTTAAGAGAGTGGTGAAGCAATGTATAAAGAGAGATATGAGAGAGTGGGTGAGATGTTAACAACAAAATTTGTTAAAAATAAAAAAAAGTTTTGGCGTGAGATTAACAAGTAGAGGAAGCCTAGGGAACAACTGGATTTGTCAGTTAAAAATAGGAGAGGAGAGTTATTAAATGGAGAGTTAGAGGTATTGGGAAGATAGAGGGAATATTTTGAGGAATTGTTAAATGTTGACGAAGATAGGGAAGCTGCGATTTCGTGTATAGGGCAAGGAAGAATAACATCTTGTAGGAGTGAGGAAGAGCCAGTTGTGAGTGTGGGGGAAGTTCGTGAGGAAGTGGGTAGAAAGAAGGTAAGGCAGCTGGGGATATAGTTTTGGAGTGGAAGAGGGTAAGGTACCTATGGGCTGGCAGAGAGCATGCATAGTTCCTTTGTATAAAGACAAAGGGGACAAAAGAGAGCGCAAAAATTTACAGGGAAGTCTGTTGAGTATATCTGGTTAAGTGTATGGTAGAGTTATTATTTAAAGAATTAAGAGTAAGACTGAAACCAGAAGAGATGAACAAGGAGGCTTTAGGAAAAGTAAGGGGGGTGTGTAGACCAAGTGTTTACAGTGAAACATATAAATGAACAGTATTTAGATAAGGCTAAAGAGGCTTTTGTGGCATTTATGGATTTGGAAAAGGCGTATGACAGGGTGGATAGGGGGGCAATGTGGCAGATGTTGCAAGTGTATGGTGTAGGAGGTAGGTTACTGAAAGCAGTGAAGAGTTTTTACGAGGATAGTGAGTCTCAAGTTAGAGTATGTGGGAAAGAGGGAGATTATTTCCCAGTATAAGTAGGCCTTAGACAAGGATGTGTGACGTCACCGTGATTGTTAAATATATTTATGGATGGGGTTGTAAGAGGACCGAATGCGATGGTCTTGGCAAGAAGTGTGGAGTTAAAAGATAAAGAATCAAGCACAAAGGGGAGTTGTCACAGTTGCTTTTTGCTGATGACACTTTGCACTTCGGAGATTCTGAAGAGAAGTAGCAGAGGTTGGTGGATGAATTTGGTAGGGTGTGTAAAAGATGAAAATTAAAAGAGAGTATAGGAAAGAGTAAGGTTATGAAGCTTACAAAAACATTAGGTGACGAAAGATTGGATATCAGATTGGAGGGAGAGAGTATGGAGGAGGTGAATGTATTTAGATATTTTGGAGTGGACGTGTCAGCGGATGGGTCTATGAAAGATGAGGTAAATCATAGAATTGATGAGGGGAAAAGGGTGAGTGGTGCACTTAGGATTCTGTGGAGACAATGAACTTTGTCCTTGGAGGCAAAGAGGGGAATGTATGAGAGTATAGTTTTACCAACGCTCTTATATGGGTGTGAAGCATGGGTGATGAATGTTGCAGCGAGGAGAAGGCTGGAGGCAGTGGAGATGTCATGTCTGAGGGCAATGTGTGGTGTGAATATAATGCAGAGAATTCGTTGTTTGGAAGTTAGGAGAAGGTGCGGTATTACCAAAACTGTTGTCCAGAGGGCTGAAGAAGGGTTGTTGAGGTGGTTCGGACATGTAGAGAGAATGAAACGAAACAGAATGACTTCGAGTGTGTATAAATCTGTAGTGGAGGGAAGGCGGGGTTGGGGTCAGCCTAGGGAAGGTTGGAGGGAGGGTGTAAAGGAGGTTTTGTGTGCGAGGGGCTTGGACTTCCAGCAGGCATGCGTGAGCGTGTTAGACGGGAGCAAATGGAGACAAATGATTTTTAGGACTTGACGTGCTGTTGAAGTGTAAGCAAGGTAACACTTGTGAAGGGGTTCAGGGAAACCGGCAGGCCGGGCTTGAGTGATGGAGATGGGAAGTACAGTGCCTGCACTCTGAAGGAGGGGTGTTAATGTTGCAGTTTTATAGCTGTAGTGTAAGCACGCCTCTGGCAAAACAGTGGAGTGAATGATGGTGAAAGTTTTTCTTTTTCGATCCACTCTGCCTTGGTGGGAAACGGCCGATGTGTTAATAATACATACACACACACACATACACACACACACACACACACACACACACACACACACACACACACACACACACACAACACACACATATATATATATATATATACACACACACAAACATTATCTCTCAGTTCAGAGCAAGATTCGAACCTACAAACTTTACATCAAAGTACTTAGTACTTGCCACTCGGCCAGATCCCACTGGCTGTATAGCTTAAGTACTGTGTACTTGATGCAGAGTGTGCGTCAGAGTACATAGTACTTACTATATTCAGAAAAAAATACGTTTTCCAGCTAAAAGCATTTGTACTGTGCAACTCTCATTCACTCCCTTGACTCTGTTATCGACCGAAACTGTCTCAGGCTGATCGGGTTAACTGGCCAACACTGAGAAAGTTACTTGTGTGTTGGTGCAGTGACGACCAGATGGCACTGAGCTAGTATGTTAAAATCCTCTTCGACTCTACATTTATAATCTGTTTGATGAAAATTACTCGCTATCATTTCCTGCTCACTGGATGAGTACAGAAAGAAATATGCATGTACTCCTAAGTTAGGGATTAAATTAATCTCTTAGAGATTATTATCCACGTGTTTTTCAGCCTTAATGACCCACTTGTTGTCAACTGCATCTGTATTAGCAAACTTTATTCAAACCAATAAGTGAATGGAACGCTCATATTATTATTATAATCCAAAGAAGCGCTAAACCACAAGGGTTAAACAGCGCTGAGTAGGAAAGCTTATAAGTTTTCCACTACACTTGAAACCTCTTGTCAAACTCATCGCAATTATCATTATGTTCATTTCTATCATTTTTTTTTTACATAGTTTTTTGTATCTGGGCTATAAAACCTTAACACCAATAGTTTTCTGACCTTATATTAAACTTGTCAGTCAGTTTGTTAAACTTTAAGGATATCTCGATAATCATTTCTTATTGGTTCTGTTGAACATTTAAGAACAACACTACCATAATGGGAATTTAAGTAAAATTTCACTGTATATACACTGACAAACATACACATCGCGGTGTATATACATTAAAAGACATATTCGTCTTATTGAACATAAGTTGTGACTAACCTCATCCAACAAATCCACAGTAAAAAGGGAAGACTTTTTAATATTACTTTATGCATTTTTTTTACGACACCATCCATCTTAAAATAAAGTGGGTTGATCCAAAATGAAGACATTCATCATTCATCATTCATCACTATCAAAATTACCCTCCTAATTGTAAAGTAAGATCCCTCCACGCTGTGCTGTCCACCTCCAGGATTCAAGTCTGGCTCACAAATTTCTCTATAATCCTTCAGAAGTGTTTTCATCATGTACACACTGATACAATATGCTCAACCACTCGTAAATTCTCAAGTTCCCTCCACCTGAAACCTCCTTCACAGCCTTCCTATAAGCCTTTCTCAGGCAACTTCATTTTCCCTTCTTTCCACCGCGGAATTACATGGCTTCTTGGTAATCCTATTCGGCTCTATACTCACTAAATGCCCTAATCACCTTACTAACCACTCTTCTGTCTCCTGCATAATACCTTACGTAACCCTACATCGTCTTACATTTCTACGAGACGAACTATTTAAAAACATTTACACCATAAATTGCTCCCTCACATGACGTCTTCGAAGCTTCAAACGTCCTCTTCGCTGACTCATTTAAATTATCAACATTAGTCTTTTAGCGGGAAGTATTAAAGCTAAAGGGAAGTGGGAGGTAATGAAATTAAATCCAAAAAAATGGAGGGTAATTCTAATTCTTCGGATCAAGAGCCCTCAGCGGCGTCTGTAATATTTAAAACTAATGTCTCTAACCCAGAGTTATTACCATTAATCTCTTTGTTTACTTTACAGTCTTTGCCTCCACAGATAAACAACATTCTCTCCGATAAATTAGACACATGTGCAACTCTTGGGTATCTTTACTGAGGAAACGTTTCGCCACACAGTGGCTTCATCAGCCCATATAAAGGAGAATGATGAAGAACAGGAGGAGTTTCAGGTAATCAGTCCCTAAAACTCCTCCTGTTCTTCACCATTCTCCTTTATATGGACTGATGAAGCCACTGTGTGGCGAAACGTTTCCTCAATAAAGATGACCAAGAGTTGCACATGTGTCTAATTTATCAACGTGTCGGTTCTCTGAACCATTCATCTACAACATTCTCTCCATACACACTTCAACATGCAACCTTTTTCTTACCTTCGTCTGTTCTCTGGATCACCTCATCTTTCACCCACCTGTCTGGCGACTCTCTCACTCCCACATATGGAAGAATGCACAAGAAATTAAGTTTTTAAGTCCATCTCATTATCTACAATAGAGTTCTTAGATGCATTATCTTAAATGTTTTGATGGTAAGAATTACTGCATATGACAAAGTTTTATGAATTAAATTTGAATAATCGTGAAAACAACAGAGGAATATTTTTTAGGACGAATCAGAATTATTATTAATGTGAGTTTTTGAAATCATTCAGATTTTTCTTGAAAAATAACCCCCTCAGAGAAGGTTGAATTGTTGTTTGTGAAATGCTCTTCATTCAAGGAAGTGGAGCTACTCTTCCATTCCCTAAATCAAGTATAATTTTTTCCCATTTCCTAGGCGCTGTATGGCTTCAACAAACATTAAATATATTTTTAATTTAGTGACTGTTTTGATCTTTCATAGGGGCTCATTGATGTTGAAGGGCTCTCGATCAAAGGAATTGGAACTACTTTCCCGTCCTCGAATAAAACTTGATTTCTTCACATCATGGAGGCGCTATATAACCCGCGTGGGTTACACAGCCCAACAACTAATGAGTTTTGATCTCACAATAAAAACTTTCATTCGGTAAATCATACAGTTTCCTCGGCAGATTAAGTCTCAGTTGACGCTCATTAACATTTTAACTCACAGATCAATGTATACAAATTTATAAATCTGTGTGTAGGGTTAGAGGCTGAAGTCTTTCAGGTTTGCTTCAGTATTATAAATGTGGTTGCTCTCCACATTTAATATTTACGAAACACAATTACAGAACAATATTAGTTAAGTAATCCATGTACTGAATTTTGTTTTGTTTACAACCTGTATTAATCGAGAGAAATTTAATTTTGTCGTCAGCTGTGATATACACAACGGTGAGTTGCAACTTATACTGGTGGGCACTGTTGTTTTTGTTCCAGTATTAAATTAATTAGATAAAACTTGAAGATCCAGTCAAGAGTTATACAAAGGGCATCAAGACCAGTTTCTGACACATTTCTGCAAGGTAAACCAAATTATAATACTGGCTTACACAGTGAGCTGTGACCTAAGACCAGACTTCTGGTGTTGGGTCACACTTCACTTTCTTTGTGGTGGTTCATGAGGGGTGTCTTTACTGTGACCTGTTCGTTTTCTTGATGTAAAATAAGTGGGGTCGTCAAGTGTCCTTGAAATCCATGTGGGGGAAGTGTGGGCAAGGTGTAGGCGAAATTATCCAGACCTCCAAAAGCAGGCACTTGAGGACACATGGAACCCACTACCATATTGCTTGCACGACACACGCTACTACTCATTCCCACTAAACTGATATCCTCTGTCTCACCCACGATGTCTGTACCTGCGCCAGCCACACTGCCACCAAGGCTGTTTCCTATCAGGCCACCTGCAGAACCCAGGACAAGTCTACTGCTGCCAGCTCTGTGTACAGGAACAACGCCCATAGACACAGGGGCACCTGGCATGGCATGGTCTATCTGGGCATATATAGTGGGCTCTGTCTTGCGGCGAGAGAAGTTGGCATTAGGGTAGTGACGGCAGCTGTGTGGGAAGGATAACTCAGCATAATTCACCTCCAGATTCTGTGTCAGAGACAAAGAAAAAAATAAAGAAAAAATGACAGTGTTAATCATTAGACAACAATTAATGCTACGTCATGAAACTATAAGAACGCAATTTACCATATATATATATATATATATATATATATATATATATATATATATATATATATATATATATATATATATATTATATATATATGATCGAAATTTTCAGCTCCTTCAGGGTTGCAGGTAGTGGTGATACGTAAACTGTGCTCTTCACGTACCCCCAAAGAAAGAAGTCACAAACAGATCCAGTGACCTCGCAGGCCACTTGCGGAGGTCACCGGATCTAACTGTTTGTGTCTTCAGGGAGTGTTTTTGTAGACGCTCTGGATTATAATGAATTATTTACCCGAGGAACGTGGTGTATCTTACAGTATATTTCTGATGTACGATTGTATCCAGTTTTGTTTTTATGAGTATTAATTTACAGTATATTTATTGTTTCTTTTGACTTCAGCCTAGTCAATGCAACCTTAGACTGACCTGAGGATTTGTTGTTGATATGGATGAAGGCGTCCTGGAATAAGTGCCGCAAACATTGCTCTCATAAGGGACGGAGGTACAGACATGGACGCTGCGGAATCCACCTTCCTCAGGAGTAGTGGGACTTTTGTTCTCCGTCTCACTGTTGCCTGTACATGAAAAATCAATCATGACTGACAGTTTTAGTGACAAAGAATTAAAAATCTGTTTGTTATGAACACCTATGTTAATTATTGTTACAATAATTTCATTTCAGAACACACACGGTCTCTTAATTTCTTATGAAACAATCAAATATAAAAGAGAATTTTCCAAGTTTAAATAAAACTACCTTAAAACAGACTGAGGTTTAGAAATGATAAAATAAGGATTCATTAGTAAATACGTTTCTTTGAGTGAAGATGATATTTGATCATTAGTTCGCATGCACTCATCAAAATAATTCTCATGTTTGATGGCGCCTAGGTGACAGAAACCAGCACTGATCTTCTCCGTTATAACGTTGTACCTGACGGAACACAGCTCTGATCTTCTCCGTTATAACGTCCTACATGACAGAACACAGCACTGATCTTCTCCGTTATAACGTTGTACCTGACAGAACACAGCACTGATCTTCTCCGTTATAACGTTCTACATGACAGAACACAGCACTGATCTTCTCCGTTATAACGTTCTACATGACAGAACACAGCACTGATCTTCTCCGTTATAACATCCTACACGACAGAACACAGCACTGATCTTCTCCAATATAACGTCCTACATGACAAAGCACAGCACTGATCTTCTTCGTTATAGCGTCCTACATGACAGACACAGCGCTGGTCTCCGTTATAACGTCCTACATGACAGAACACAGCACTGACCTTCTCCGTGATAACACCCTATATGACAGAACACAGCATTGATCTCCATTATAACATCCTACATGACAGAACACAGTACTGATCTTCTCCATCATAACGTCCTACATGACAGAGCACAGCACTGATCTTCTCCATCATAACGTCCCACATGACAGAACACAACACTGATCTTCGCCTATATAACATCCTACGTGACAGAACACAGCACTGATCTTCTCCATCATAACGTCCTACATGAAAGAACACAGCACTGATCTTCTCCATCATAACATCCTACATGACAGAACACAGTACTGATCTTCTCCGTTATAACATTCTACATAACAGAACACAGCACTGATCTTCTCCGTTATAATGTCGTACATGAAAGAACACAGCACTGATCTTCTCCGTTATAACGTCCTACATGACAGAACACAGCACTGATCTCCGTTATAACGTCCTACATGATAAAACACTGCACTGATCTTCTCCATCATAACGTCCTACATGACAGAACACAGTCCTGATCTTCTCCGTTATATCCTACATAACAGAACACAGCATTGATCTTCTCCATTATAACGTCGTACATGAAAGAACACAGCACTTATCTTCTCCGTTATAACGTCCTACATAACAGAACACAGCACTGATCTTCTCCGTTATAACGTCCTACATAACAGAACACAGCACTGATCTTCTCTGTTATATCGTACATAACAGAACACAGCACTGATCTTCTCCGTTATAACGTCCTACATGACAGAACACAACACTGATCTTCTCCATCATAACGTCCTACGTGACAGAACACAGTACTGATCTTCTCCGTTATAACATTCTACATAACAGAACACAGCACTGATCTTCTCCGTTATAACGTCCTACATGACAGAACACAACACTGATCTTCTCCATCATAACGTCCTACATGACAGAACACAGCACTGATCTTCTCCGTTATAACATCCTACATGACAGAACACAGCACTGATCTTCTCCATCATAACGTCCTACATGACAGAACACAGTACTGATCTTCTCCGTTATAACGTCCTACATGACAGAATACAGCACTGATCTTCTCCGTTATAACGTCCTATATGATATAACACAGCACTGATCTCCGTTATAACGTCCTACATGACAGAATACAGCACTGATCTTCTCCGTTATAATGTCCTACATGACAGAATACAGCACTGATCTTCTCCGTTATAACGTCCTACATGATAGAACACAGCACTGATCTCCGTTATAACGTCCTACATGACAGAATACAGTACTGATCTTCTCCGTTATAATGTCCTACATGACAGAATACAGCACTGATCTTCTCCGTTATAACGTCCTACATGATAGAACACAGCACTGATCTCCGTTATAACGTCCTACATAACACAACACAGCACTGATCTTCTCCGTCATAACGTCCTACATGACAGAACACAGCACTGATCTTCTCCGTTAAAACATCCTACATGACAGAACACAGCACTGATCTTCTCCATCATAACGTCCTACATGACAGAACATAGCACTGATCTTCGCCTATATAACATCCTACATGACAGAACACGATACTGATCTTCTCCATCATAACGTCCTACATGACAGAACACAGCAGTGACCTCCGTTATAACGTCCTACATGACAGAATACAGCACTGATCTTCTCCGTTATAACGTCCTACATGACAGAACACAGCACTGATCTAAGTTATAACGTCCTACATGACAGAACACAGCACTGATCTTCTCCGTTAAAACATCCTACATGACAGAACACAGCACTGATCTTCTCCATCATAACGTCCTACATGACAGAACATAGCACTGATCTTCGCCTATGTAACATCCTACATGACAGAACACGATACTGATCTTCTCCATCATAACGTCCTACATGACAGAACACAGCAGTGATCTCCGTTATAACGTCCTACATGACAGAATACAGCACTGATCTTCTCCGTTATAACGTCCTACATGATAGAACACAGCACTGATCTCCGTTATAACATCCTACATGACAGAACACAGCACTGATCTTCTCCATCATAACGTCCTACATGACAGAACATAGCACTGATCTTCGCCTATATAACATCCTACATGACAGAACACAATACTGATCTTCTCCATCATAACGTCCTACATGACAGAACACAGCACTGATGTTCGCCTATATACTATCCTACATGACAGAACACAACACTGATCTTGTCCATCATAACGTCCTACATGACAGAACACAGCACTGATCTTCTCCGTTATAACATCCTACATGACAGAACACAGCGCTGATCTTCTCCGTTATAACGTCCTACATGACAGAACACAGCACTGATCTTCTCCATTATAACGTCCTACATAACAGAACACAGCACTGATCTTCTCCGTTATAACGTCCTACATAACAGAACACAGCACTGATCTTCTCCATCATAACGTCCATTATTTGTTTATAAATATGCTTCATAAAACTCAGTCTGGTTTTAACTTTACATTTCTAAATAGTGACTTCTAGATTGTTGAATGTATAATTGTGTTAGTGCGTGAAATTCTTGCATACATTTTAACGCAGTTCTGTTTATATTTATATCCTGATTTCATTTAAGAATGATCCTGTGTTATGATGGAATGATACTGGATCTAAATCATTCATATTGTGAAATTTAGTATCAATGATAACGTCAATCAAAGTAATTTACCGTTGAAAGGGATGAGGTCGGGGTTCTTGTCGTCAAGGTCCCGAGTATCAGCCAGTGATGTTTGCAGAGGCAGAGTTATGTTCTTTCTCTCTCCACGTCTCTTTTTCTTGAGGTTAACCACACTTACTGCCACCACAGCCACCAGTACTAGTGATCCCACGACTCCCATAACCACCGCCAGAATGGGAGTGATGGATTCCAGCTGCTCTGGAGGAGGACGTATCTGGGCAGTGCGTCTCTCTGCGATGTCCTTAATAGTGTAGCCAGTTAAATACCTTTTCTCGCTTGGACCTCTGTCATTGGCAGCGTAAACATGGATGACGTATGAAGTCCCGGGTTCGAGCCCTCGTAAGAAAAAGACCGGGGCGGAGTTTTCTGTAATGTTGAGTAGCAGTCGTGTATTCTCTGCCTCATAAACCTCAATAATAAACCACTGCACAAGACCACCATTGTAGCCAGGGATACAATGTATTTTCAGTGTCTCCATCGTCTGGTTAGTAAGATTACAATTTTCAGGAGGGTTGGGTTTACCAGCTGCAACTACCTTGTAAGAGCAGGGTATCTTCTGTCTGCCAAGGGCATTTCTGCCCCAGCAGAGTAACGTACCATAGTCCAGCTCTGTACGAGCTACATAGGACAGAGAGGACTGGAGTCCCTGCATGGCTACGTGATTCTCTGCAATGTCAACTACGTCACCACTACTGTTAAATCTCCAGAAGAAACTAACAACTGGAGGCACGGCTTCCAGACGACAAGTGACCAACACCTCCTCGTTCTTTGCGGCGCCGTAGACGTGGATCTGCCCAGCAGCACACACAGGGGCATCTGTAGGTAACAAAATATTCATAAAACAAGCTAATCAAATTACTCACGAAAATTTAATCCAGGTTCAACTTGTCGTACATGGATATAAGATGAAGTAAATTTATCTGAGAGTCGAAAGGTTTATATTAAAGTGATTTATATTAAAGTGAAGCGATAATATGTGAAACATGATCTGAGAAGAATATTCTTGATTAAACCCACGGGTCGATTCTTTAATATGTTTTATTTAAAGTACAATAATCATGTTTTGAGACTCTCTGACCGCGGGTTCAATCCCGGCCGGGGTATGATTTATGTTGCTATCTACAAACAGCCCCTCAAGGAAGGTTCCTTGATGTTGGTGAGGGGCTCTTGATTTAGGGAATTGGATCTGTGCTCCAGTTCCCCGAATTAAGCCTGAATGCTTTCCACATCCCCCCCCCCAGGCGCTGTATAATCCTCCGGGTTTAGCGCTTCCCCCTTGATTATAATAATAATAATAATAATAATAATATCTACAAACAGGTTAATATTATGAAGAATTACATGGTTCACTATGATGTTTTTTTGGCCTCAACTCGAATTCAATTTTGTTTCCTGGAGTGAAAAATAGTATACAAAATATAAAAGAAAGTTTTTAATACAGAAAAATCTCGTTTGTCTGTCGTGTATTATACCAGGATATTTTAATATAAATAAAACAAGAAAGAATACAATGTAAAAATCTTTCGATACTAGAAGTATGAGGTAAAATATCGGAAAATGAGATTTTCTCGCAATAAGAGAACTGATTCAGGAAACACGTCAATAAGGGGATTCACTACTGTATTTGTATCAGTGTTGATACATAATTTGAGTGTGGAAATAATTATATATTTTTAATATATTAAAATATAGCAAAATAATATATACAAATGTTTGTGTAAAAAGTAAGTATAGTAAGACTTGGTTAAACTGAACAGGTTAAGTAAAAAAGTTATTAATTTATTGTAAACACGTCCTTACTTAGAGCACAAATAAATGCATTTTTTGGTCCTTTGTGGTAGCAGATTTCTTTAGATAATTCCTAAATACGTTGAAAGATATATGCGAATAATTTCTCAAAATATATTAGAAACAATGGGTCATTCAGTTTTATTTTGGAGCTCATGTAAAGAAATGAATAATGAAAATATGAAAAAAATAGATATGCAACAAAATTTATTTCACAATAAATTTGAGCTTTGAAAAAAATCTGAAGACACTAAAATTTAATTTATAGACAACACGAAAAGTGGTTATGTGATTACTTCTAATAAATTCATAAGATGCTACAAAATAAATTAGAAAATTTATTGTAAATAGCAAAATGGAGGACAAAAAGACTAGCCACTAAGTTGAGGATCATTTACAAACTTTCTTGAAGTTTTTCTTAAACAGACAAACCCACAATAAAGTGCACACACAGAGGTGGGGTGCACCATCAAGTGTTGGACACAATACGTACAACCGAGGAAGAAGTGAAGAGGCTGTTAAGCGAGCTAGACACCTCAAAGGCGATAGGGCAGGATAACATCTCTCCATGGGTCCTGAGAGAGGGAACAGAGGCGCTTTGTGTACCACTAACAACTATCTTCAACACATCTATGGAAACAGGACGACTACCGGATGCATGGAAGACAGCAAATATAGTCCCAATTTTTAAAAAGAGACAGACATGAAGCATTAAACTACAGATCATTGTCAGTGACGTGTATAGTATGCAAGATCATGGAGAAAATTATCAGGAGAAGAGTGGTGGAGCACCTAGAAGAGAATGAGCTTATCAACGACAGCCAGCACGGTTTCAGGGACGGGAAATCCTGCGTCACAAACCTACTGGACTTCTATGACAGGGTGACTGCAGTAAGACAAGAAAGAGAGAGGTGGGTATATTGTATTTTCTTGGACTGTAAGAAGGCGTTTGACACAGTTCCTCCAGCGGAAGCTGGAGGACCAGGCAGAGATAACAGGGAAGGCACTACAGTGGATCAGAGAATACCTGTCAGGAAGACAACAGCGAGTCATGGTACGTGGTGAGGTGTCAGAGTGGGCACCTGTGACGAGTGGGGTGCCACGGGGATCCGTCCTAGGACCGGTGCTGTTTCTGGTATTTGTGAACGACATGACGGAAGAAATAGACTCCGAAGTGTCCCTGTTTGCAGACGATGTGAAGATGATGAGAAGCATTCAATCGGACGAAGACAAGGCAGAACTACAGAGGGATCTGGACAGACTACTAGCCTGGTCCAGAAACTGGCTTCTGGAGTTCAACCCCACCAAGCGCAAAGTCATGAAGATTGGGGAAGGGCAAAGAAGACCACAGACGGAGTAGAGTCTAGGGGGCCAGAGCCTACAAACCTCACTCAAGGACAAGGATCTTGGTGTGAGTATAACACCGGAATATCTGAGGCGCACATCAACCAAATAACTGCTGCAGCATATGGGCGCCTGGCAAACCTAAGAACAGCATTCAACATCTAAATAAGGAGTCATTCAAGACCCTGTAAACTGTGTACGTTAGGCCCATATTGGAATATGCAGCGCCAGTTTGAAACCGTCACATAGCCAAGCATGTAAGGAAAATAGAGAAAGTGTAAAGGTTTGCAACAAGACTAGTCCCGGAGCTAAGAGGTATGTCCTACGAGGAGAGGTTAAGGGAAATCGACCAGACGACATTGAGAAACAGGAGAGTTAGGGGACATATGATAACAACATATAAAATACTGACAGGTATAGACAAGGTGGACAGAGACAGGATGTTCCAGAGATGGGACACAGCAGCAAGGGGTCACGGTTGGAAGTTGAAGACTCAGATGAACCACAGGGATGTCAGGAAGTATATTTTCAGTCACAGAGTTGTCAGGAAGTGGAATAGCCTGGGTAGTGATGTAGTGGAGGCAGGATCCTTACATAGCTTTAAGAAGAGGTATGATAAAACTCACGGAGCCGGTAGAATGATCGGGTAGCGGCCAGTTGAAGAGGCGGGGCCAGAAGCTATGACTCGACCCCCGCAATCACAACTAGGTGAGAGTACAACTAGGTGAGTATATATATATATATATATATATATATATATATATATATATATATATATATATATATATATATATATATATATATACACACACACACACACAGCAGGGAGTGAGAGAACCTAGTAGCAATCAGTGAAGAGGCGGGGCCAGGAGCTGTGACTCAACCCCTGCAACCACAAATAGGTGAGTGTTCACACACACAAACACAAACGCACACACAGAGGCAGGCATGACATCAGGAACAGCTACAGCAGTCACAGACGAGGGGACTTTAGGGAACAGAGATCAGTAAAGAGGCTGGGCCAGGAGCTATGTCCTGGCCATTGTAACCACAAATACGTGAGTACAAATAGGCGAGTACACAGGCACTAGGGGCAAAGGCTGCAATCCTCACACAAGATCTCTGGGTGTAAATAGCCCGGAGTATAGAGACCGCAGTAAACTCACGTCAGGCGTCTCTAAGATTAGTAATCAGTAACCACAGCAAGGAGTCATTCACTATTCCTTGTCAGATCCATACAGAAGTATGCACCACCAGAATGGAAACCACAATGATCAAGGATGAGAAGAAATTAGAGAGGGTGCAGGGGTTGACAACAAGGCTAGTTCCTGAGCCGGGGGTAATGAACTATAAAAAGAGACTAAAGGAACTATTCCGGGTGACATGAGTGGACAGAAAGGTCAGAGGACATGAAAATCTCGTGAATTAAAAGGGTGACAAGGAAAGACTGTTCGAGATGTGGGAAACAAGATCACAAGGGTACGACTGGAAGCTGAAAATGTAGATGAGTCACAGAGTTCATAGGAAATACTTCATCAGCCTCAGAATATCCAGGGATTGAAAAGTCGACGATGACAAAGTGGTAGAAGTACGATCTGTACATAGCTTTAAGAATAGGTATGAAAATGGTTTTGAAGCAGGAGAAATCGTTCTGGGCCAGGAGCTGAGAGACCATCCTCGCAAGAATTTGTAGGTAAGTTCACACAGAGATGCCAGGAAGCATTTCTTCAGTCTCAGGATAATCCGGAAGAGGAATGATCTCGACGAAGAAGTGATGGAGGTAGGGACATTTATTATTTTAAGGAAAAATAAGATAAGGTTGACGAGGCTGGGAGGAAGTGAATCTGGCAAACTGCAAGTGGGGTCATTAGTTAGAACTTACCCCGTCCACCCACATGTAGGTGCGTTCAAGTAGGCGACCAAACACATTCACATACATACAAACAAACTTACAAACACATGTTGACAAACACAAGCACTCCATTCTACCCAGGAAGGAGGTTACCTGAGAGCAAATTAGAGGAAAAACAAAGAATAAAAGAAAAGAAAGAGCTGAGAAAGCAATACAGAAAAAGTGCCAGAGAAGAAAAAAAAAGTATGGCCATTGGGAGCATGAATCACAGGCTGAAGATATGGAGAAACAAATGGGTTGGAAGACAAACTTGACTTGGAAATCTGGGAACAGATGCTAGATCAGATCCAGGAAAGGATAAAAAAGATGAGGGAAAAAATTATCAAGTTTAAAGAAGAAAGAAGCAATTTTTTACAGTAAATCGAAACAAATAGGAAAAATGTAAGATAGTGAGGGACTTCGAAAGCAAAGTAAATCTGCTGAGGTAAGAAGTAGGAAAGTTAAGTAGTCAGTCAGTTGGTGAGAGACCAGAAATTCAGGGAGAAAAAATTCTAGACACTAAAGGATGACATGCTGAGCAGGTCAGGAAGGAGAAGAAAGTGAAACAACTGGAAGATAAACCTGAGGAATTATAGGTGAACAACATATATTTTAACTAGACATGAAAAGAAGGACATGGGATACAGAGCTCTTATGGTGTTTTAGTTAAATAAAGAGAAATCATACCACGGACGGAGATGGAACCCGCGACCAGAGAGTCTCAGAATATTGTGGCTAGCTGGCCCAGTGGCTAATGCGGCGGTCTGGAGTTTTGAGACTCTCTGACCGCGGG